TGCACCGGGGGTCGATCCATGCACCGGGGGGTCGGTCCGTGCACCGGGGGCTGCACCGGGGGTCTGTCGCTTGAGCGGGGGCTGCAGCGGGGGGGCGGCAGTTCGCGCACCGGGGCGCGGGGGCGGCTCTGTCCGTGCACCGGGACCTGCGGCGGGGGCAGCGGGAGGTCGGTGCGCTCAGAACCGGGGGAAACGGGGACACGCGGGGACCTCCGGGCTGCGGGGCGGGCGGCGGCCGCCACCTGCCGGGGACACGCGGGGACGCGCTCTCGGGGACGCGCTCCCTGCTGCCCGCGCACCCGCCGCCTCCCAGGCGCATCCCGGGGTTTCGCGCACCGGGTTGCCCCGTCCGGGCCCCCGGGTCCGGACCGGTGCGTGTCCCCCGGGGTCGCGGGGAGCGCCCACGCCGTGCCCTCAGTTTTCCTCCCGCGTGGCCCGTGTCCCCACGCTGCCACCCGCCCGCGGCGCTGCTGGCGCCTTGTGCGTGTCCCCACCGCGCCCTGTCCCCCCTCCCCGCGCCCGCTGAGCCCCCGAGTCCGAGCACGGCCGCAACTCATCACACGGGTGGCGGCGCTCCCGTCTCTCGGACCTCCGCCCCAGCAGGGGGCGCTCGCGGCCCTCTGCCGCAAAGCCCCCTGGGAAATGTAGTCGCTGATCTCCGTTGGGGTGAGGACTACATTACCCAGAGGGCTCCGCGCGCGGTAGGCGGGGTTTCGGGAGCGTGGGCGGGGCTTCGGGACCACTGGCGGCCCCGGGCGGGGGTCGCCGGGGCTGAGCTGGACCGGGGCTACCGAACAAGGACCGGGCTGGTCTGAGGGCGACAGCACCGGGGCTGGGGGCCACTAAACCGGCCCGGCCCGGGGCTGGGGGGTCTGGACTTGCCCAAATCGAAGGGATCGGACGTGGCTCCCCCCGGACCCTCCGAGGGAGGGGTCCCACGGCAGGGACCCCCAGGCCCCCAGCGAGGAGGAGCAGGGGGAGGAGGATGCTTGGCTGTGATGCGGGGCTGTGATGTCCCCTGGCCTGGGACAGGACCTGGGGGGGCTGCGGGACAGCGGGGACCCCGCAGGAATGCAGAGGGACCGGGGAACCCTCGGGGGGGACCGGAGGGAGGGTCTGTGAGACACGAAGGGACCCCACGGTGATGCTGCGGGACTGAGGGACCCCCGGGGGGTGCGTGGGGGAGGGCGTGGGACACGAAGGGATGCGGTGGCACTGGGGGACTCCCCTGTGGATACTGGGGCAACAAGGCTTTAGTCCCCCCGCGTCCCCCTGTCTGTCCCCCCCGTCTGTCCCCGGCTTTGCAATAAATCTGTTTGTGAGACCCACCTGCCCCCCGTCTGCGCCGTGTCCGGGGGGACGCGCCGGGATGATCCAGCCGGGACGAGCCCCTTGTTTGCTCAGGGAATTGGCGGCGGCTTCTGCCCGGCTGCGGGGCGGGGGGGTCGCCCGGGGGGTCCTTCCCTGGCCGCGGTGCTGACGTCCATCCCGCCGGCTCCTGTGCCCCAAGGGATGCGTCTCCCGGGGATGTGTCCCCCCGTCCAGCCTGGTGACGGTGACAGGGCTGGGGGGACACACGGCTCTGCGTCAGCGGGTGTTTGCCCACGCCGGGGGCTGGCGGGGGCTGGGGGATATAAAGCTGAGCCCGACACTTCCATGAGAATCCAGGGAGGCTCCAGCACCGGGAACATGGGACACCCTTGGCTCTGCCTGCTCTGCCTGCTGGGCTCTGGCCTCATCCTGCTGGGCACCCCCGAGCCAGTGCCGGGGGTCCTTCCCCCCCTGAGCCTGCCCGGGCAGAGCCGGGAGGAGACAGAGCTGGTAAAGGGGCTGGGGCAGTGGGGGGAGTGGGGAAGGGGGTCCCCAGCACCCCCCGTGAGGCTCTGGGGCACCTCAGGGTGCTCCTGCTCCCACCGCCCCGGTTTGGGGGCCGGTTCTGGCCGTGCCGGGGTGTTCTTGGGGAATTCGGGAGGGGGAAACTGAGATCCCACCACTGGTTTTGTGCCGCTGCTGTCGGGTACTCGGGGGGCTCCTCGCAGGAGCAGCACCGGGGACATCCCGCAGCACGCGGGAATTGCTGGATTGGGAATTTTACCCGGTGTTCCCTTCCCTGCCCTGTCCTGACGGGCTGCTCTGGCTCGGGGGTGGGGATGGGAGATGCTGTGTCGGGTGGGGGGTGTCGGGGTGGGGTCGTGGGGGGCGGGATGCACCCCAAGCACTGCCCTGAGCCCCCTGATCCTGCCCCAGCCCTGATTCCTGACCCAGATACAGCCAGGCATGGGGGGGAGATGGGGACGATCCTCGATGGATGGGACAGAATCCTGGGGGACTTGGCTTGACAGGAACCCCTGGACATTCCCGGGGACTCAGGGTGATGCAGATCCAGAGCCCCTGGGGAACTCGGGGTGACCCGGCCCGGAGCCCCGGGATGTCCCGGCAGCTCGCGGTGTCCCGGTGTGTGTCCGACAGGTGGAGGTGCTGCAGGAGGTGCTGGAGAAGCTCGGGACCAGGGATCCGCCGGCGCTGGAGAAGAGGCTGAGCTGGGTGCCCTCGGTACGGCGGGGCTGGGGGGCGGTGGGTGCTCACCTTGGGCGCTCGGGGGGGACCCCCAACTTCCCCTAAACCCCTCCGGGTGCCGGGGCTGACGGTGCGGTCCCGCAGTGCGAGCCCGGGGAGCCGTGCGCGGTGCGGCGCGGGGCGCGCATCGGGAAGCTCTGCAGCTGCCCCCGCGGCACCTCCTGCAACCTCTTCATCCTCAAGTGCTCCTGAGGGATCGGGGACACCGGGGGACACCGGGGGACACCAGCTGCCACCCGCCTGTGCCCCGGGCAGGGGAGGGGGAGCCGCGGGCCCCCAGCCCCCTCCCCGCACCGGGATGGACCTGCACAGCACCCTCGGGTGCCTGGGCTGTGGGGCTGGGGTGGGACACATTAAATGATTGAATTCACCCTGCTGACTGCTTTTTGCGGGGATTTTGGGGTGCCAGCCCCCCTCTGCCGCCGGGCGGGGTTCTGAGCGGGGATGGGAAGGGTGGGTCACATCCTGCTGCGGGTCAACGTGGGGCACCCACCTGAGGCTGGGGCAGGGCTGGGGGACGGGGGGACACCGGGGGGATGGTGGGAAGGGTGGGTCACATCCTGCTGCGGGTCCACCCGAGGCTGGGGTGGGATGCGGGGCAGGGAAGCGGGAGTGGGAACGGTGCCAGAGCGAGGGAGAAGGCCTGAGGGTTGGGTCTGGGAGGGCTCCTATTACAGTAGTGATGATCCCCGACCCTCCGGAGGCGGAGGGATGGAGCATCCGAGGGCAGGAGGACGCGGGGACTCACCCGGCCCATCGCACACCGCGCGGGGCCCGTCCCTCCGCCCCACCCCGCCATTGCCCCTTTAAGACCCCGCCCCGCGCCCACCTCCGCCCCTCCCACCCGCTCCCCTTCGTCCGGCGGCCATTGGCTGGCGGTGACATCAGTGGGCGGGGCGAGGCGGCGGTGACGCAGGGGGCGCGGCCGTTAAGGGGGCGTGGCCGTTAAGCGGGCGGGGGGCGCCCGAAGATGGCGGCGGCTCCGGTGCCCGCGGCCCCTCCGGCCCCCGCTCCCGCCGCCGCTCCCGCAGCATCCCCGGGGCCGCGCGGCCGCTTCTCCCTGCTCGCCATCGTGGGCGGCGGCTGCCACCGGCCCGGCCTCAGGGCCGCCGCGCTGCAGCAGCTGGAGCGAGGTGAGACCGCGCGATGATGCTCCGGCCGCGGAGGGTCCCCCCCGTGAGGGTCCCTCCTCCCAACGTCCCTCCTCCGCAGGGGCCTCCCGGGGTTGACTCCCCCACCCCGGGCAGCCCCCTCCTGCCCCAGGCCCCCCGGGATCT